GGTAACAAGAGTGAAACTCCGTCTCAAAAAAAAAAAAAAAAAAATGATAGTTAATTTGTCAAGGTCTCTTATCAAATTTGCTTTGAAATGATTACAGTCTGTCAGAGCTTGCTGACTTCGCTGTACCTAAAGAAAGTTAGTGGTGAAGAGACGAAGACCGAGCGGTTGTGGCCGCGTTGCTGATCTCGAGCAGTGGTGGGCTTCTCCATGTGGAACCTGGGACTAAGAGACTCAGAATTGAATCTCTTCTCCCTCCCCCGTCCTGTGAGATTTTTTTGATCTTCAGCTACATTTTCGGCTTTGTGAGAAACAGTATCATCAAACACAATGGCCAGCAACGTTACCAAGACAGATCCTCGCTCCATGAACTCCCATGTGTTCATTGGGAATCTCAACACTCTGTGGTCCAGAAATCTGATGTGGAGGCAATCTTTTCTAAATATGGCAAAATTGTGGACTGCTCTGTTCATAAGGGCTTTGCCTTCCTTCACTATGTTAATGAGAGAAATGCCCGGGCTGCTGCAGCAGGAGAGGATGGCAGAATGATTGCTGGCCAGGTTTTAGATACTAACCTGGCTGCAGAGCCAAAAGTGAACCGAGGAAAAGCAGGTGTGAAACGATCTGCAGTGGAGATGTATGGCTCCTTTTTTGACTTGGACTATGACTTTCAGCGGGATTATGATGACAGGATATAGTTACCCAGCAGGTGTACCTCCTACTCCTCCTATTGCTCGGGCTGTAGTGCCCTCAAAACATCAGCGTGTATCAGGAAACACCTCACCAAGGGGCAAAAGTGCCTTCAATTCTAAGAGGGGACAGCGGGGATCTTCCATGTCTGGAAAGTTGAAAGGAGATGACCTTCAGGCCATTAAGAAAGCGTTGATCTGGGCCGGGCGCGGTGGCTCAAGCCTGTAATCCCAGCACTTTGGGAGGCCGAGGGGGGTGGATCATGAGGTCAAGAGATCGAGACCATCCTGGTCAACATGGTGAAACCCCGTCTCTACTAAAAATACAAAACATTAGCTGTGCATGGTGGTGTGTGCCTGTAATCCCAGCTACTCAGGAGGCTGAGGCAGGAGAATTGCCTGAACCCAGGAGGCGGAGGTTGCGGTGAGCCGAGATCGCGCCATTGCACTCCAGCCTGGGTAACATGAGTGAAACTCCGTCTCAAA